TGCCTCTGGGAAATGAAGAAGTCGCCGGACAGAGACATCGTCCTCGCATGGGCACCCTCACATTGTGGCATATCTGGGAACGAAGCTGCAGACAGAGCTGCGAACCTGGCAAGAAGAAAAACTAATGGAACCACAATGATCAATTTAACGACCACTGCTGACTGGAGATTGGAATGCAAAAAAAATCCTAAATGAAAAATGGCAATTCAAGTGGAACCAATCTACGAATAAATTGCAAGAGATCAAAAAAGATACCAAACCGTGGACGACCTCTTTCAGAAAGAACAGGAAAGAAGAAACAATTTTAACTCGGCTTAGAATTGGACATGCAGCCTTTACCCATGGCTACCTAATGAGAGGCCTGGAACCACCATTTTGTAAAACATGCAACACACCACTTACACTGAAACACATTGTAACAACTTGCAGACTATACTCTGACACCAGAACAAAACATAATATACCTTCCAACATATCTGAAGCACTTTCAGATGACGAAGAAAAGATACAAAAAGTGTTTGAATTTATAAAAGACATTAAATTTGTACACCTAATTTGGTTACATCTAAAGCCGCTAATGACTCGATCGGGTAGATGCGGAATGTAACAATAAATAAATAAATAAAAATAGACAAAGTTTGCCGATCTCCATATTGAAAACGCCATAATTCCTAGAGTTTTCCTAAATAAAAAAGTTGTAGGCTACGATGAGATGAAGCGATTCACTAAGTTTCAGGTGGGTGTTCATAATTTGATAAAAAGGTGTCTGTACCACGGACTATAAATAAAAGTAACATTTAAGTATCGATAAAATATTTACATAGCTACTACTACGCATTAGCCTAGCCAGCTAGTCGACTTTTCATAATCGATTTAATTTAGAAATAGAAATAGTAAATCATCTTTATTCTGGGACTAGGTCCCTTGAGAATAACAATATTGTTTAAACCAATTGACAATAAATCTGGCCAGATGACCTATTATAATAAAAAATAACTACAATCGAAGTAATAAAATGAGAATATACATAGTTTTGGAGGGTATATTAAGGAAAGCAGATGGGTACAACGGTTACAATATTATAATATTGGTACAAAAAACAACAACATACTTATAATTAAATAAAATCCTAAATAAGTTTTATAGGTACCCTATTTTAGTGCTAAAATATAATAAAGAAAAATAAGAATAAAAGAAAATAACTAGAGTAAATAAATGATTTATATATGTTCCTTAAGACGTTAAAGTGAAAATATGTGAAGATATTGTGAAAAAGTAGACAAGTATTGTGATCTACATATGACGCAATGGATTACGAGCAGAAAAAGAAAAAAACAAACACATACATACTATGAATTTACATATTCTATTCATTCGTGTAGCTTATTTATTGTATGCCTCAAATTATTGGGAGGGGGGGGTCATATTATCTTTTCCTCAATCCTTTTTTGGGGGATAGGTGATCCCACCTCCTCCCCTTCTCAAATCTGCTCCTATGTTCATCACATATTTCAAGCGAACATAAAAAAAAAGTCCTGATATTACTGAAAAATCCTTTTAAAATAGCCACAACTCTCCTCAGATTATTAAATAATTAACATTTCCCTGATTCCAGGCATCGTCAGAATAATAGCATAATATTCAATATTATATAAATATATATTAACAATCGATATTTTAAATATTTAGGTAGATTTTATACCGAAATAGAAACAGAGATGAGCCAATCAGAGATGGTTAAATTAGTAGTCGTTGGATGGAGGCTGCTATCAATTGGTTGAGGGCCTTCGTTAGCTGATTGTGGATTGGTCCATCAGTCTGAGCAACGACCAATCACCGCTGATTTTTAAATAGTCCATTATATGTTCTCTCTTAATAATGCACCTCTGCGAGTCAAATCGAAAATTTAATTTAAAAAATATATATTTATATTTTATATGTTTATATCAAAAAGACATGAGCATTTTACAATATTTGGACTACAATATTTAAATAATTTTAAGAGGAATATTTAAAGAGGAAAACAAATCTACACTGTTCCAGCGAGAATTTGATAGATTCGCATTCAGATTAACAATCGGAATAGAAAATATAGTTTTTCGCTTTTCCTTAAATTTTTTCTGTGATGAATAAAATTCACTACATCTAAAATTATTGAAATGAAAACATGATTGATTTTTTAGATTGCCGATGTGTAACACTCGTATAAACTCGGCTGGAATCGACTAATTTAAGTGTTTTGCATATGAATTGAAATATCTCAAAAACTAAAAATCGGACCTGCATACTGTAGCAAGAGAAATGTTCAGCACTTCATTCTCTTTATAATGAGCTATTATTCAAAATTTTATATTGACGTGACGCTGTATTAGTGAGGCAAAAAGAGAAAAAATATAGGGGTCAAAAATCAAATCAGAGATAATTCCATATTAAATGTTGTTATATTGAATATAACGAATCATACTAAAATAATGAGAATATTCGATCGTCACATATTTTTGTTATCACCAATCTATTTTTCATTTTTAGAGTTAGATACTGACTTAGTATGATCAGTAGGAGCAAAGTTTACTGGAGTAATTTAAACACAATTATAATTGTATATATTATAGATATTATTACTTTTTGAATATACAGGGTGTTTCTGGGTTAAGTGGTCAAACTGTAAAAATGAACTGTGGATCTCAAAACAAGAAAAAAAATTCCTCTGAAGGTGTGTCTGCAAACGCTTTGTTTAGGAGATATTCACACCTAAAGAATTTCGTTGTTGTAAATTATTTACGTAATATTAAATAAATAAAACCTATTTATTTATTCTAACTTATTTATTAATTAAATGTAAACATAAACAGAAAACGGAAGAGGTCCACGACAATGGCTAAATGTTAACTACCCCATTCGATTGATTGGCCGTGCCAGTGGCTTAATTAATAAAGTAGTTGGAACAAATAAATATGTTTCATTTACTTAATATAACGTAACCTTTATTGCTCGCTCTGTTAATTTTTGGAATTACCTTCCTATCAAAATTCGTCATTCTTCATCCCTATCTACATTCAAAACCTTCCTATTCCAATTCCTATCCCAAGAACAGTTAGATATCCGCTAACCTTTTACGTAAAATTACATATTATTCATAATAATGTATTTACATATAGCTCACAACTTAAATACTTATTATAAGATTCGACTTTTTTTTTTTTCAACAGAAACACAGAGTTTACTGCTAAGAAGAATGTAATGTATTTTTTTTTTTTTTTTCTAAAACTGTATATTTATATTTTACCATTGTACATAGTTTTAAGTGTCTTGGCAAGGTTTCAAGAGTTTTGTATATAGATTTTTTTTTTTTAATTTTGTATATAGTATGTATAACTAATATTTTCTTTACTGATTTATCTTTATCTTTACTTTTTATGTTTGTTTTTATTTGGCTAGATATAACATTTTAATTTTGCACTTTTTTCTTATTCTGAAGGGACTTCGTCCCAGAATAAAATTATTTTCTATTCTATTCTAAATAATTCATAACAATGAAAATCTTTAGATATGAACATCTCCTAACCATAGCGTTTCCGGACATAACTTGGAAGTTTTTTCTTGTTTTGAGATCCTTAATTCATATTTTAAGTTTGGTCACTAAACCCTGAAGCACCCTGTAGAACAAAAAAAAAAATTATATTTCATATTTTTAAGTCTGCGCTGTTAATGTTTTCACTTCCATCGTATGGTCTTAAGATTTTTTTATTTATTAATATTAAATTATTGAAATTATTTGTCATCTATTGCTGAATTATAATAGCAATATATTATTTTAGATTGATTTATAATTTTCTTATTCATATATACGATAGCGACGTTTTTAAAGTTACTGTATCGATAAAACTTTTTAAACTGGTGGAGAAGTCGATTTGTCATCGTCTATGAATTATTCCAACCGCGACGAAGACTTTATCTTGTTAGTCCGATCTTTGTGTCTCTCTGATTCTATCTTGTAGTTTAGTGTTGCTTGTCATATATTTGTTGCATATTATATTTTATACTACTTGATCCGTGTCGAAAATTCGCACAGTATATTGTTCAGTGATCAAAAGACAAATTAACAAGAAAATAAAATAATGTAACGTATCATAAGTTAGAGAAATCAATCGTTACTTTATCGAAAAATATAATTGATAAAGGAAACAAAAATTAATTTAAAACTTCATTAATGTTCGGAACCAACATGTTTACAAATTTTAATCAGTTGTATTTTTTCTAAGAATTGTCCGATTTCATAGATTTTTTTTTCCTTATATAGGAAATGTATTAATTTTTTATATACTCATGGACATGAGGAAAAAGTGTGTAATTTTTTAGTTTTTCACAAATAATTTTCTTTTCCTTGATAACTTTTTTGCCTGAATTTTCGCGGTGATCCTGCCTGAAGGAGAAGGAAACCTTTAAAATTGGTGGCTGAATCTTGGGATTTGATGGAGAATTAACAATGATATGACGTTTCGACACAAAAATACCTTTGATAAACTATATAAACTCCTCCTCTCTCGATCATAAGGAAAACAAATCGACGAAATGAGACATGTATTCTATGAGAGTACTACAATTAGCGTAAGGTTGTGTGGATGCGAACCGTTTGCCTTGCATTATCTCGAAAATAGTACGCTTTGGGCTTATATGTACGCATCAAAATCTTCAAAGCCCAATTTGTCCCGTATCGATCTACAGACTTACCACCGTTCCACTATTGAAGCCTAGTAATATGTTAATATCGACTTTATTTATTTTAGAAAGAAAAACAAGCGGAGAATACGAATCCGTCAAGCCTATTTATGGCATTTGAGAATGACAGGAGCTTATATTTGGTACAAAACCGATTTTGAGCCTTACTGTAATAATGTATGTGAGGATTTGGTTGAGTAATTAGGAAGTTTTAATTATTCGGTTTACTTTATTTATAAGGAATTAAACTAACTGTATGATTGTTAAAAGCTTGAATCAAAATGGTAATTATTTTTTATACACTTATATATTAATGTTAAACACAATCTATAATTTCAATATTTAAAAGTGTAGTGATCTTCGTGTTCTACATATTTTTTTCCACCGATTTTGAAGATTACAGTCTTTAGGGCAGACGTGACCACACTGGATTATATTCATCCATCCGCTGTAACGCGTACTCATTAAGTTTTGTAACTTAGATACCTCGCTCAGGGTGACCAATTCGGTACGCAGGATTCGGATGCCAAAATTCTAAAGTTGCGTTTAGGCCAAGGTTAAAATCTATAATTGTTTTTTTCGCAAAATTATTTACTAATTATTGTTTTTGATTTTTGATTAAAAAAATTATACTTGATTCATATTCTTTATTAAAAATATTCTTAAATATATTTTTCCATTCTTCTGTACCCAGTACTTGTTCTATGATACCATGAATCGCCAGGCTTTCTTCCACCGCGTCTATCCATTTTATCCTTGTTTTTACCTTTTTTCCTTCTTCATTCTACTTTCAGCCCGTAAATAAAAATTTAAATCGATCTTTGGTGTTTATTGACTCGATTAAAAATAATGATCATTTACTGAGTGATAAGATTTTACATAAATAATAATGATTAAATTGTTATAAAAAAATAAAAATCACCTTTTACATAAAAATTAAATTAAATATTAATATGTATGTATACGTTATTATTGTACACATTGTATTAATATTATATTTCTTAAATCGGTTTATTTGTGCTCACGATACCTGCACAATATATATATTTCTTTTTCTGAGAGCTGAAATTCCTAATGAATTTTGGAAACAAAGATGTTCTGTTGCTAATAGTTGGCAACAATATTCTTCATCTACTACATACTACCCTATTACATACTCAAAATATATCATAGATATTACAAAAAAGTTATGCTTCTTATTTAAAAAAGTATTTCTCAAAAATTATTATCATTGTTAATTGTAAAAATTTTGTTTAAAAATTAGTGATAAGAACAGGATTTCTATCACTTATGGTCAAAATTAAAAATCACTGTTAATAAAGATGATTTTTAAAAATTCTATATACAAATTTTGATCAGATTTTATTTGAATTTGAATTTTTAATTATCAATTTTAAATCCTGCTTTAGTCATTTATATAAAACTGACTTGATAGTGTTTTCTGTTTGATTACTTTATATGTACTAGCTAAAGTTATATGTACTAGCTATTATATTATATGTATATTATATATATATGTATATAATATATTATATTATATATATATATATATATATATATATATATATATATATATATCTATTATATATATTATATTATATGTACTAGCTAAAGTTATCAGGTATTAGTCCCTATAAATTAGTTCTTTCCTTTTCTTGTTTTCTCGCTGGTGTTACGAGGTATTATCTATTTATGATTTCTTTTAAATATCTTATTCAATCCAATAAATAAGATAAATATCTTATTTAATCGGTTTATTTATTATTGCAGGCCCAAGAGCGGCTCGATGTTGCTGTACAGCCGGAAGAAGGTGCGGTACCGACGGGACGGCTATTGCTGGAAGAAGAGGAAGGACGGCAAGACGACCAGGGAGGATCACATGAAGCTCAAGGTCCAAGGCACCGAGGTAGGTCACCTTTATATCACCTCCAATTGTTCTCCTATTTATTGTAGTGTCGGCAATGTTGAATGGATTTCTGTATTTTTCTGATGCATATTTACTAAGATATTTAATGTTAAAGAAAAGTGGTGGGGCAAGGGTTACGTCACAAGAGACTTGGCTACCCCATGCCATGCTAGCCGCCATACCGTTAGCAATTTAAAACTTTTATCCAAAAAATTTCTTTCCGATTTTTCTCTCATCCTGTTCTCTCTCTAGATTAGGTTGGGTAGAAGACCTGTACATTCTTATACCACAGAGAGAAATAATTCAAAACATATTTTAGGATGAAATAATTAAGGTTTCTTTAAATAGTTTAAAACATACCAGGAGCGGGGAGCCAAGCGGGTTAACCCGTGTGTACAGCACAGCGCTTTTCACAGTAACCTGGTAACCGAAATTGGAGACAATAGAATAATTACGAATTAGCGTTCCGGTTCCCGGGGCTTTTAACTCTAGCATTAATCCCCCGACCTCACCTCCTGACTCGGGAAAATCCACGTATAGCTTAAAATGCGAGGTAGAGGAGTAAAACAAAAAAAAAAGTTGAAAACATGCCAACTTTATAAAAAAAAAAATTATTAGTACACATGAAGAAATCAGAACACTGTAAGGCACGGGCGGATCTACGGGGGGGGGGCTTTCGGGCTGAAGCCCCTCCCCCCCAAAATGGTAAAATATAACCATGTTTTATCGAAAAAAATATTTAAAAAGTATCTCTTAAAGTCTTATTGTTCGTGTAATTACATTTAAAAGGGCTTTAGGAATCACTTAAACACCATTTCATACAGTTAGTTAGTTTCTTTCTTTTTTTCCAAAGTAATTATCGTTATTTTTATAAAAAAAACAACTTTCGGGCTGAAGCCCCCCCCAAAATTAAATCCTGGATCCGCTAGTGCTGTAAGGTCAGTTATTTATTTTATTTGTTATTCTTTTGTATTGTTTTTCAACATAAATGTTAATCAACTAATCAAATCTATACCTCTTCAACCCATTGAGAGTCTTGGATTAAGTACTTATGTAGGGAAGTACTGTTTTTTGGTCAACGATTGTGTAAGGAGGTGATTTGACGAAGATCACGCTCAGACGCTCAGGTCTCCCCCCACCTTAATTAATTAACACTTTAAAGAATCTGTATGTCCCCAGGAGGATTCCCGACCCCGAGGTAGTTCCACGGCCGATGAAACAGTATAAATAATTACCAGCCATCAGCCATGTTCGAACCCGGAGCCTTACTCTTTGGAAGTCAGTGCCCTACCACTGAGCTATCCCATTCCTTTAATTATTTAAACGCACCATATATCGTAGTCATCGTGTGTAAGAATCTATGTTGAATCCATACTAAACGCGAATATTTACGTAATAATTAGTTATCAGGTGAATATAAACATGAAACATGTAACCGAAAAATTCACACGAGGAAAAACCCGAGTTTTAGCTACTATAGTTACAAATATCTGTTCTGGACGTTAGTAATCGAATATGTATTATTTAGAGGCGGATGTGTAATAATGATTGTATATATCCTCACAGCTCTTTGTACATTTCAATTCTGTACTTACCAGTACTGGTACCTGCTCCGTAGCTAGCTGGCGAGCGCCCCCCACCGACAAAACCTATTCCCAAGATAAATCGGCTCCAGATGTACAAGGCTGTGTTGGGAATTATCCTGAATTCATTTCCTCCAGCTGAGGACCGTACCTGGAAATTGCACTTTTTTTGCGGCGCCCCCCCCCCTCGGTGTTTTTAATTCTTGTTAATTAACAGCCTGCTACCGCCGCCTTTACACCTCGCTGATGAACGGCTTTCCCGGCTCCAATTCGTTCCGCGATTTCTTTACTTTTTCTCTCTCACTTGTTCCTATTTTTTTTTCTCTCTCTCTCCCTTCCCTCCTCTGTTCTTTTTAGAAAAATAAATTACAAGAAAAAATTGTGTTGAGAAAAATTGAAATAAATACATAACGTGAAGGAGTTTGTTCTTCCACCTTTTGTGATTAATATGCTTTTGTTCAGGCATATGTTTGCAGTTCACTTTTCAATATTAAAACTTTTAAATTCGCTGTGACTTTATTTTATTCTGTGGTAAAACTGTATAATCATTGTTCCACTTCAAGACCTCCATTGACCACAGTGATGATATATTCATAATCCCAAAAGATTTTTTATTTTTGTCAAATCAAACATGTTGTCGTGTTTGATTAATAATGCAGAATTCTTTGTGTTCAAAAGGGACTCAGCGGATAAGGGAGAAGATAAGAAAGGATTGCGTCTTGTTTCGGGAGATGATCTCCCTAATCAATATCGGTACAAGATTGATTAATCAGAAAATGATAAAATAAAAAATAATAATGAATTTAATCGTAACTTGATCCACAGAAATTTAAATGATAAAATAATTACGATTTCGCGAGACGGGAGAAGGAGTATTTAATTTTAGCGTTAATCCCCCAACCTCACATCTGGTCCGAGAAAATACCAGATAGCATTACGGCGAGAAGGGGTTGGACAAAAAAATAAAATAAAATTCTTGTAATGATATACTGGTACTGTTTAAAAAGTGATATGAAGTATTTGTTAATATTATTAATGGAATAAAAAAAAATTGAAAATAAAAATTTATTATATGATACAAAAGTAACCAACAACAGGCATTTTCATGAAGAGAATTAGAATTAGTATGGAGGGCTTTTTAAATATGGATAAGGAAGGGGTTTGTGAAATTTTAAGAGGTAGAAAATTCGAGGATGTTGTGGATTGGGCAATAAAGAACAGTGAAAATGAGATAGCTCTGTATAAAGTTATATATATATATATATATATATATATATATATATATATATATATATATATATATATATATTCCTTCCCTCCTTCAAAAGACAATACTTCCTAGACATATTCCCTTACCAAATAATGAACAACTATCGCCCTTCCTATGTCTGCAATCTTCTCCAATTCATCAAGTCCTCCATCTACTCACTTACCATAAGATCTCGACCCTCTGACTTGTATAGACCTTTATACAGACCTGTCTCCTTTTCACATGGCTTCTATATTACTTATAAAGATGAGGAAGAGTTGTACAAAAAAAAAAAAAAGAAAAACAAATTCTTGTAATGATACTAGTTAGTTCTATTTGAAAAGCGATATGAAGTATTTGTTAATATTATTAATGGAATAAAAAATAAATATGAAAATAAAACTTTATTATATGATACGAAATTAACCAAAAACTGGCCTTTTCATGAGGATAATTAGAATTAGAATAGAGAGGTTTTAAATGTGAATAAGGAAGGAGTATGTAGGATTTTAAGAGGTAGGAAATTTGAGAATGTTGTGAAATGGGCATTAAATTACTGTTTATGTATAAATATATATATATATATATATATATATATATATATATACATATATATGTATATAGAATAGAATAGAATAGAAAATAATTATATAATTTATAAATATATATATATGCATGGAATCCTTCCCTCCTTCAAAAGACAACACTTCCTAGTTATATTTCTTTACCAAATAATGAACAACTATTGCTCTTCCAATTCCTACAATCTTCTCCCAATTCATCAAGTCCTCCATCTACTCACTTACCATAAGATCTCGACCCTCTGACTTTAATAGACATTTTTACAGATCTGTCTCATTTTCACAGGGCTTCTATATTACTTATAAAGACGAGGAAGTATTTGTTAATATTGTAGATGGAATAAAAAAAATATGAAAATAAAACTTTATTATATGATACAAAATTATCTAACAACTGGCCTTTTCATGAGGAGAATTAGAATTAGAATAGGGGAGAGGGTTTGAATGTACAATGAAAGGGTTTTAAATATTTATATTTATATATATATATATATATATATATATATATATATATATATATATATATATTTATATATATATATATTTATATATATATATATATATATATATATATATATATATATATGTTGTGTGTGTGTAACCTTTCATCGGAAACGTTACTGGCTTCTGTATTACTTATTATAGTCCCACATTAGATTGCTTTATGAATATATATTTTTTTATTTTCAGTGTATTTATGGCTGTTATGTACATTCTGCTATACTTCCCACCTTTCATCGGAGATGTTACTGGCTTCTTCAGGTAATATTTCACCACTTTATTGATAATCTTTTCTCTATTGTTAATTAATTTTTTTTAAATTATTATGAATGGCTTTAAGAGATAATATACGCTGTCTTTCAGAACCCAGATATAGTCCTTGTACACTATTTGAACGTGCCGTATCCTGATGATAACAAAATCGTATCTCCAAGCCTGGCCCTCTGTGCTGATAAGAAACAATGGACCAAAGAGGAACTAATATCTCAGCTCAAGCCGATGTGTATGTATTATTGCGGAAATTAAGTTTTGCTTTTAATTTTTTATGCATTCTTATTTTATTAATGTAATAACCTAATCTGATATTTTATTTAATATAATTATATATAATAAATTATGACAAATATAATTTAAATTGCAATTGTTCTATCCACAATACACCTCTGAAATCCCTGAATACTCTTCTGTCATCACCTTCACCTTCTTAGTCAATACAGCAATTCTTTCTTCCCAAAGAAATTCAACTAGCATTTATTTTCCTTAAAAATCATTTATTTGGTTTTGAAAAGTGGTTCCACAAAATGAACGTCACTTTTTCCTTAAGGAAAAATTCATCAATTACAATTGACAACAACTCAGAGCCTTAAAAAAAATATAAGTGGTACCTCAGACTGTACTAGGACAAACATTTTTATAAAATTAGGACAAGATAATACAATCAACTTTCAAATCAGTAAACTACAGATCCTCAATAAACTTGCAAAACTAATGTCTGATCAATACCCCACTATACTAAGATCTATTTGGACATATGGACCAAACTTTTGGGTCCAGCAACTACACTTGCACACAACAACAAAATATATATTGTAAAATCTCTTATATTTTACAAATAATAATATAACCTCGGAAGCTCACTTCATACTGTTGAGATACTTCCAAAAGAAATAAGAGGTTATTAAATTTTGACGAGGACAGTTTTTGATCTAGATAAACTAAGAAACATTGTTAAAGTTTTCTTGTAACCTTTATAAGTAAATATAAACAAAACAAATTCAATAGAGTCAGCCTTGTCAACATAACAATCAAAAGAAATAGGTGATGTAATTTCTATGACCTTGACTGTATATAATAATATATATATCAGTTTTTAAAAACATCATATTACTTTTGGAAGGATTTATAATTTTTCATTAAATATTATTGTGAGTTTACTGGTTTTCTTATAAACATTATATTTTTATTTTTAGTTTACAGTGAAGAAGAACCTGAACTTAACAATGAACTTGAAATATCTGTGAGTATTAATATAAAAATATTATATCTATTAAATTAAATTGAATTGATTATTTCAGAAACATGCATATGCATATAAAATTTTGAAAATAATAAAAACAGTATTTTATACAGAAAAAATTTGAAGATAAAAATCTACAGAAAAAAATATTGCTAAACTCAAAACCAGGTTAAATTTACACATTTGTTTTTTTTTAAATAACCGATTTTAGTTATTAATTAAATTTAAACTTTTAAGAAGTTGTTTAGAGGTGCAGTAAAAGAACTACACACATGAATGAGGCTCTTGTATTTATTGTTCGCCCACGTTTTAATCTACATTGTTGGTCTTAGTCAGAGCTCAAAAGAACAAGATACAAAAAAAAAAAAGTCAAATTAGTACAAGTTACAAAAAACAAATACAAGTAAAAAAATAATTTTAAATTAATACAAAATACAGATTTGTTGTAAAAGATGAAAAGTAATAAGTAAGAAATGAAATGAGTATGAACAGAGTGAATTAAACAATAATAAGGAAGTCCTTAAATGCCATTATATGTTCTTTCTTATGATATCGTTTAATTTACACTTTTCATTTCCTACTTATCATTTTTCAACTCTTATAATAGATCTGTTGTACCTTGTTCTAATTTAAAATAATATATATTTTTTTTTACTTTCTACTAAATTAACATTAATTTTTTTATATCGTTTTTTTAGCTCTGATTGTAAATGATATAAGGCAGGTTGAAATGTGGATAGTTAATATCCCATTTATCATATGTGTGACTTTTTTGGTTGCACCAACTACTAACTTCTTCTTAATTAGATTGACGATTAAAAATATGGATTTCACTGTCATCACCACATATGCTGATGACACATGTATCCTATCAGTTAATAACGACCCATCTATTGCATCCCAAACCCTTCAATCCCACATCATAAACCTTGAGGAATGGTGTCAGAACTGGAGAATTAAAATAAATTCGAATAAATCCCATCAAATTACCTTCACCCTTCGTCGTAAACCAATGACTTCCTGTCCTTCAGTATCCTTTAACAACACCTCACTTATTCCTGTTGAACAAATCCGTTACCTAGGACTCCATCTGGACAAACGTCTAACTTGGAATCCTCATACCAGACTGAAACGACAAGAAACAGCTCGACGTTTCCGACTACTTCAACACTTACTAGACAAACGCTCTAACCTTCCAATCAATTATAAAAGACTCATTTACATGACTATAATAAGGCCTATTTGGACTTACGGAGTTGAGCAATGGGGCTCCACCAAACCTTCAAATTCCTCTCGCATACAATCCTTACAATCCAAAATCCTTCGTAAAATCCTCAATGCTCCTTACTTTGTTACAAATAAAATTATCCATAATGACCTTAATGTTCCTTATGTATCAGATTTGGCCCAATCCAGATATCTGTCCTTCCATAATAAACTTCATAACCATCCCAACCCTCTTGTCTCTAACCTTGCTTCCTGTTCGATTCCTGATAACCCTCCAAGGTGTCTGAAAAGAAGATGGCCACGTGATCTTCTAATATAGACATATTATTAGAGTGCTACCAATGGGTAGTTTCTCAACATGTGTTCCATGTCTTTATACCAATGTGTGAATTTACCAGATGTATTTTTTGTATACAGTTGTAAATATCATATAAATAAATAATAAAAAAAAAAAATATCTTCAACGATTGACTTAAGAATGGATCTATAGTCAATCATTGAGGAAACTCATTCTTATTTGTAAATTTTCATATCTTAACTATGATAATGTTGATAACTGTAATGATACCTAACATAAATTAAAAGGGTTCCCGTGAAAGAAATGAATACATAAGTTTTTTTAATATAAAATTAAAAGAGTATTAATTTGATTAAATGATAATTAATTTTTTTTTTATTCTATTAGGATTTTGTTTAGATTTATTGTTAACTATTAGAGTTTTTAAAACAGAAACGAGTTCAACAAACACTGCTTTCTCAGACAGCTGAGACTGTAGAGTCCATAGTGTGTCAGCTGCTGGAGAGACAGCGCTCTGCGAGGGCTAACGCAATATGCAAACAGCTCGAATGCGGTTGTCCGGATTCGACTTGTGCCGATGCCAAAGCGTGCTCGCAGCCGATAAGAAGGATAACTGCAGCCAAGGCGGAACCCGATACTAATCAGGTATTTTAAATTTCTTTTGTGTTTATTTCTGCTTTTCATAACTTTTATAAATTAATTTTGTTGGTGCATATGGTAAATATAATTTAGTATAATTTTAGTCCTTGAAAATAAAATGTCTCTGATGATGAGAAGAATATATCCTGAAATGTTAAACAGAATATAACAAAAAAAAAAATATACATATATAATCAAAAGGAAGTTATATTTGCCAATTACACCAATGAAACAAGAAACTTCCCTACCAGAAAAAAAATTAAATAAATAAACAAAAAGAAATCATTTATAATTATTAATACAAAAAACAAAATAAAACCTTTGTATTTTTTTTTTTTTTTTATGCAAATGCCAAGTAGATTTAGTGAATTTTGATTCTTAAAATCTCATTTGAAAATTTTAAATTAATTATGTGCATAAATTGGTCTATTCTGTTTATTTTTTTGGCTCTTCTGAAAAATTGGAATTTAACTGTACAAAAAACATATTTTCGGCCATGATTATCTCTAGGATAGGTAGGACCAAATTTGTTGCTCCTTATTTTGTTTTGTATGATTTTGGACCCTGTACCGAATCAGGTACATTATTCGCAATAAGAATATTTCAAAGATTTAATTATATATTTTATGAGACTTGAAATATATTGTGATGAATTGAATGGGCTCACTCTAAAAATGTTCAAATTGACTGTAATTAATAAATTAATTTTTTAGCCTAAAAAGTGTATGGTTCGTATCCAGGATATGACCTCAGAGTGTTTCTGCACCCATAAAGGACTTAGATAAGGAGATTGTCTTGGGTCTCTATTTTTTTTTAATTCGGTCCTGGAATATGCAGTAAGAAGATCTGGATTCCAAGTTGGAGATGAAATTTTTAATAGAACTGCAATGATCCATGGCTAGGCAGATGACATAGACATAATGGCACGAAATTATGAAGCCATAAAAGAAATATTCTTGGAGCTCCAACGGGAAGCCGAAAGAATGGGTCTCATTATTAACGAGTCCAAAACAAAATACATTATCATTGTCCTCCATGGAGAACCATAATTACATATTGGGTCATATTCCTTCGAGCAAGTGGAAGAATTTATATATCTAGGATCACAAGTGATTTCTCATAATGACAATGCACTGGAAATTTAGTGTCAGATTGTCTCCGCAAACAGATGCTACTATGGATTAGCTGGGTATTTCAAGAGTAGAATAGTATCTCGAGCCACCAAGACCCTCCTGTATAAGACATCGGTAAGGCCAGTAATCACTTATGCTGCAGAATGCTGGACCACTAACAGAAACCAAGAATAGGCCTTGCTAAGATTTGAGAGACGGATCCTGATAAGAATCATGGGCGCAAGACAAAAGAAGTCTGTAGACAGTGAACTAATACTGAATTAAGGCAGTTGTATGGGGATGCTGATGTGGTGACCTTTATCGAAGTAAGTCGTCTCAGATGGGCTGGACATATTATAAGAATGTCTGAAGATCAAGTCCCAAAAAATATCATTTTAAAACAAATCTTTGGCAAACAAAGAAGAGGAAGACCAAGATTGTGGTGGATAGATGGTGTATCTGCAGATGCACAATCCATGCTTGGGAACCAGAACTGGAAGAGGCAGCGTATAATAGGAATGACTGGGAGACAAAGTTGCAAGAGGCCTTGTCTCCACTCGGGACGTACAGCCATACAAGAAGAAGAATTTTTCAGCCTCTATTGTGACAAAATCTGACAGCTGCTGTATTCTATTATTTTAATTTCTAAATTTCCATTATCTAATATAATTTATGAAGTAAAAATTCACTGAAAATATGTTTATTTGTTACACTTTCCTTTACCCCTGAAAGTTTAATAAAATGTGAGAACTTTTTGTGAGTGAGCTCTTCAATAAGCATAATTTTTATTTATAAAAAATATTGAACTTTGTATTTCGGCCGATGTAATATGATCTCGGCCCAATCACCTCCCTGCCCAACCATTGGCCTTGAACTTAAGACTCTTCATGGGTTGTTAATGGTACAGATTTTTTCATTTATGAAATTTTTTACTTTGTCATTTTTAACAAATCTTCAAGTACTGATGTTTTAAACCTTTACATGGTCGTTCCTTTCATCATCTTTCTCAAAATTCCGTTTTGAAATGATTGTAGACGTTTTTATGTTGACTTAGTTATAAATAAGAACAATGAGCTGCAATAAAATAGTGTTCGTCGTTTTATTTTTTTGCAGATTAAAGCATTTAAATGTCAGTGGAATATAATAGATGTAAATAAATATCTTTATTGTAATTTTTAAGGAGCTTTATAAATTTTCGGGAGATTGATAAATTTGAATTATAGTTCATTATAATTTAAGTGTTTGTTACGTTGCCACTAGTCCGACTGCTAGATATATGACGCCTTGTTCCCAAGTGTGCCATAACGGCCACAAGAGCCATTTGGGACACGGGTGCTCAGTTGCAAACTGTGCCACAGGTGTCGTCTACTACGGGCTCAGCTGGTCTGCTCCTTGGTCAGCGAGGGATTGTTCAACAGGAGAGGGCGCTGCCCATTCACCACATACAGCAGCAGAATCATCACCAGGTACCGCATGTACGTATCCAATCTGTTAACATTAAAAGTTTATGATCAATTTTCATGATCAATGAAATTCTTATTTTATTTTAAACTCTTTGCTTTAATTTTTGAAGAATTTCTTTGAAAATTTAGTAATGTTTATAGCCAGAATATTGCTTATTAATAAGTATAATATTGTATAATATGTGTGTATATGTATATATATATATTGTAATATTTCTTTATTTTAAATAATAATATAACTTCTGGAAGATCACTTCATATTGGAGCAATACTCCCAAAATAAATAAGAAGTTGTTAAATAAAAAACAAAATTATAAGAATATTAATATATTAAACTTTATAATTATTTTATCTCAAGGTATGGAATACTGGGAATCAGATCAAAACACTCAAACAAACTAAAATTAACTACTGAATACTTAAAGGTTGACCGCTGTATATTTTAGAGGAAGGAGATGGTTCGGGGTCATAAAGAGACTAAAATAGTGGAAAAGCTATTTTATTTACTGCCAACATTTTGACCTGACTTTGCAGGTCTTCTTCAGGGCTATAATGAACAAGATACAAAAGGATCTAGAAAATTGTGGAAGTTACATAATATTTAGATAAAAATTATAAACAACGAGAATAAACTTATTGAAATTATAAACAATAAATACATTGAAATATTAAAAGCAATAAACTATATAAACATATAAGCTTGCAGCATGCATACACCTGTAAGTCTCTATTTGTATTTTTTTTTATTTTTTTTTTTTTCACACTCCCTTCATCTCCATTATTTCATATAATTTTTATTTCTATTTCTCTTTGAGATCTGTAGGAGTATATTCATAATTACATATGTTATCCATCTTTCTTATTTCATTCAATGTTTCCCTATCTTCAATAATTATTACCATTTATTAAATTCAGTTTAGGATTTTGTTACAAAGTTTGCTCTGTTTATTGTTCTTAATATTTCAATGTACTTACTGTATATAATTTCAATAAGTTTATTGATCCTGTTTATAATTTATGTAACTTCTATTATCTAAATATTTTATCTAAATATTATGTAATTTCCATAATTTGCTATATCCTTTTGTATCTTGTTCGTTATAGCCCTGAAGAAGACCTGCAAAGTCGAAACGTTGGCTTTAAATAAAATAGTTTTTCCATTATTTTAGTATTTTTATGACCACCACCCCGAACTATCTCCTTCCTCTTAAATTAACTATACTAAATACTTTGATTTTAAAATAAAATCAAGTATGAATTGGCAAGCTAACCTTTTTTCCACAAACACTGTTTCTTCCTTTGTGGCACTGAACCCACTTGTATTCAAGCACTTTCCAATGTTCTGCCTAACACCCTTTCCAAAATGGCAACACTTTCCTCTACTGAACTCAACATCCCTGGGGCATCATCTCTCCTCTTTCTCCAAACAACTAGAGGCCCAGCTAAACAACTGACTCAGCCAAAACAAAATCCTTTTTTTCTCCCCTACCAGACATTTTCTCCTTTGGGGAAATTCCAGAGCAGTCATATTCTTTTTCTTGAACTAGTGAAACTGTTTTTCAAATTTAAACACCCTCTGACATTAACATAACGAGATTAGCTTGTCTTTTAACTGTTCAACATTAATTTACTAAGCCATTTTTACCAACTTTTAATAAAGATATATATTACAGTATATATTTCCGATTTAAATAAAGATATATTAATTATCTTCTCACTACATTTTGCCTATAGGTCTAATTCAATTAATAATCATTTTCAATTTTTAGATTATTCTTAATTAATTTGTATGTATCTCACCCTCTTCAGCATTTAAAGTTATATAAATAATACATTATATATTCTTTTCTGAACCAATCAGTCTTGATTTAAAAATTAATAACATTTTAAATTTTTATTTCACTTAATTTAAATTATTTTATACAAACCTATTAAAATTATAACCTACTTACATAATATTCCCCAGTATTGGGTGTCTTAACTTTCAATAACCGATAACTTGTAAGTAAAATAAAAATTTAAAATTTTATTAATTTTAAAATTAAGAATGGCTGATTCACAACAGAACCTATAATGTATTATTTATAAAATTTTAGATATTGAACAGGGAGAGCAAAATTCCCAGAAACATAGAAAGTAATAAAAAAAATCTACAAATTGAGAGTTATTATTTATTGAATTGGACCTAGATGCAAAAAGTAGAAAGAAGATAATTAATGAAAATAAGTCAACATATAAATATTTAATTGGAATTTAATTTTGATTTATGAATAAAAAATTGTAGACTGAATTTTATTTAAATAACTGTTTGAGTATCTTAGATCTCTTAGGTCCAATAAACAATATAATTACCCATAAGGAATATATATTAATATTTAAAATGAAATGCATGATTTTATTTAATGATTTATCAATTTTTAAAAAATAAAATAAAATACTGATTTCTTGATAAAATTTTGGAAAGCACTATTCTGGTCAAAGGCTGGTTGAAAAATAAATAATTTCTGCGGCATAAATTTTGAAACTGAATATTCTCCAAAAAGGTAGCTGAAGGCAAACTGCCCTGGTCGATGACCAGAAAACAACTGACTGATCTGGTCTAAGACAGAGAGGGAAATGGAACTTGGCAAGCTGAAGGTCTGTAAAGAACCAACTAGCCGACGGGTGGGGTTGGCACTGGACTGTTCCCACCACTGCCTTCTTCATTTTAACGTATTATACTTGGAGACAGATTTAAATTTAAAATGAATTTAAAAAATCATTACAATATATATAAATCCTATTATATCTATACCTCCACTATCTACAGTATAAAATATATTCTATGACATAAATGAATATTTGAAATTTACTTGTATTTGTTACCTAATACAGTAGTAAATTCCAATAAATATATTAATTTAAAAAAAAATGAAGAGAAAAAACTGGATTTTGATTTATATTAAGTTGAAGAACATTCAAATAATCCTTAAATATGTAAATGTTCTACTTATTTGTAATATTTTTTAAGATCATTATTGTTATGATTTCTGTAAGATATCAAAAATCACCTTTATTTCCGTTCCTCAGGGCTCAAACACACAAAGTGGACCTCTTGTTCTCAGCCTTACCCAGCCCGGAAGCCTCTTGATCCTCAACAACCAATCGGCTGGGCAGATAACTTCAATCGTCAGTGGGAGGCATCAACAGCGTAAAGAAAAGCCTATGGAGGTAATGATCATTCATTATGAACTATTACTTAAAAGTATATTTTACAAATAATCGATTTCAAATATAAAAACAAGCAAAATCATTTCAATCTGCACAATTTTCAGCCATAAATTCATGAAAAAAAAATAATCAATTTTTTTGCAGTTGGAGAGTACAGTACCGCAACAAGTCATGACACAAATGAGGAATTCGACAGAAGATGATAAGTTTAAACAGAGAAAACAGAAAATGGAAAAGTTTATCGAAATGAAAGAAGTTAGCGGAGGTACAGAATACTACGAGACGTTGGATCTATCTCAGGAAGATATTCAGAGGACCCTGTCGGCTAACATGCCATTGTCATGTTCTTCGAATGACAGGTATGATCATATTAATTCATCGCTTAGACATAAGACAGAATCATTGATGATACTGTAATATTTACAGAGGTTCACGTGAGGAAAACAACAAGCAGTCGTCAGTTCTTCCCGAGATAGAATTCATTGACGTCAACGCCTCTCAACATGTTGACGATGTCTTCCTCAATCTTGATGCTTTTGATATGCTCTCTGAGTTCCCAGATCTAGAAGGCCTGGATCAAAACCATAATGGTAGTAATAACATATTTATTATTATTATTTTTTATCACTTTAAAAAAAGGTATTTTCCTGGAGTGGGGAAGAATTAACTTCAACCACTTCATGTTAATTTTTGTAGTTTTATTGGATATTTAGGAAGCTCCTAACTATTCTCGCAGTGTTCAGCAGCACAGCTTTCTGGACTTCATTTATTATTATTATTATTATTTTATTTTGGCCTGGTTAAATATTATCAAAGTAGTCTAAATATAAAATTATTAGATATAAAAAAATATATTTAATTTTCAGTTATATCTGTATTGAGTTCTGTTTAAAGAATATTCTGAGTAGTGTGTAAATTATAAGCAACCAATATTTTTATAATTGAAACTGAAGAATCAATTAATTTTCTATTTTTTTTCAAAATGTCAGTGAACGAATCACATCTTTTTTGTTTACATACTGATAATTATTTATCTATAATGTGCAAAATAAAAATGGGTATGGTTTTGTCTAATTCAGAGAGATGTTTTAATAACTATTTAAAAAACTGACAAACTCAATTTGTATTTGCTGTAAAACCTGGTCTCTGCTTACGATTATTCTTTACTGAATTATTTCACAATGTTTTGAAAAATCATGTTTTATTTGCATTTTTTCAGTTATGTTATTATCATGTTTATATTTGTGTAATTACTCAAGATTTAAATATTTATGTTAGTGTTTTTATCTTTTGAGAAATAACATAATAAAAGCAAAAAAGCAATGTTGTTCCTATAAGGCTTCTCTTCCTCATAAAATTTCTATTATCTTATCTCTATTTAAACAATAAATGTAAAATTTACTCTTTCTATCATTTATTGAGTAATAACAATTAACTTGTTACAATTCTTATATTTTGTCTCTCTTGTTTAAAAAAAAAGGTCTATAATAAAGTGAATTTGAACAGGTGGTGGTTTGAATGACAATGGTAGTGGAGCGGACGGAGACAATATGGAGACCGAGAAAGGAAATGGATCACCTCCGAGAATGGACTATCGTGAAGGCACAGCAAACATCACTGATTATTCCCCAGAATGGGCTTATACAGAGGTAAAGTTTTAAATACAGGCTGCTCTATTATTTCCTAACAACCTTCTTATCGTAATCCTCTGTGTCATTTGTTCCAGTATTGCTAATATACCGGTCTGTTGTACAAACAAGCCATTTATTAGTTTGAAAAATAAATAAGATACTCTTTACAGTTGCATTTTTAATATGTAGGGTCTTTTAATATGTTAACTGCTTATATAGAATCTTGAAATTCTCTATCTTAAATCGCCTCTTGTTGATAAGATAAAAATATCATCAGTGAGATGTTAAAAATGATTCCTGAGTATCCCCACATATATTATTACAGTAAGGCTCGAAATCGGTTTTGTACCAAATATAAGCTCCTGTCATGCTCAAATACCATGAATGGGGTACCGTTGGATTCAGAATTTCACGGGGGGTTAGTGAATCATATTCTCCACTTTTGTTTTTCTTTCTAAAATAAATAAAGTCGATACAAACATTTTGCTAGGCTTCAATACTGGAACGGTGGTAGGTCTGTAGATTGATTCGGGACAAATTGGGCTTTGAATATTTTGATGTGTACAGCAAGACCCAGATAGTTCCTCTGGAACTATTGGATCCTGTGTTTTTAAGCCCAAAAACGTACCATTTTTGAGATAACGCAAGGCATAGGGTTCGCATCCACACAACCTTACATTAATTGTGGTACTGTCATTGAATACAAGTCTCATTTCATCGACTTGAAGTCTCTATGATCGAGGGAGGAGGAGTTTATATTATTTATCGATGGTGTTTTTGATCGGCAAGCCATATCATCGTTTATTTTTCACCAAATCTCAAGATTGAGCCACCAATTTCGAAGGCTTCCTTCTCCTTCAGGCAGACAAAATATTTCTGGCAATCATCCTGAAAATTCAGGCAAACAATTTATGAAAGAAAACAAACTTTATTTGCGAATAACAAAAATTACACACTTTTGCCTTTATTGTTATGGTTATTTCCATGATTATATAAAAGATTACTAAATTCCCTACAAAATGAAAAAAAAAATCATCGGAATCGGACAATTTTTAGCAAAGATACAGCTTACTGAAATTTGTAAAAATGTTAAACCCAAACAAAAATGAAGATTTAAATTAATTATTTTTTCTTTGTCGATTATATTTATCGATAGAGTAACATTTGATATCTTTATCTTTTGATACATTGCATTATTTTATTTTCTTATTAATTTGGCTTTTGATAACAATATGCTGTGCAAGTTTTTCGCACGGGCCTACTAGTATCATTAACACACTCCAGGCATGAGAGCCCTGCTGGTCTGGAAGAAGAGAGTCCTAAGGAAAATCTCTGTGGCCATCAGAGAGCAGCATAGATGAAGAATCGGAATGGTAGTGTATGGTTGACCTGATATCTTCAGTGTTATTAAGAAGACCAGATTCAGATGGCTAGGTCATGTTGAAAGAATGGACCGCTGTAGACTGCCAAAAATGATGCTGTATGGTGCATCAGGAGGAAAAATATTAGTAGGCATACCCATGCATCGATGGCTGGATGATATGAAGGAAGACTTGAGGAGGCTTTGGGTCAGAAATTGTAGGAACATAGCTGTGGACTGTGAGGAGTGGTGAAAAGTGGTCACAGAGGCTCAGATCCTGCAAGGACTGTAGTCCCCATTAAAGAAGAAGAAGAAGATTCCTATATTTATGTAATCCATTTTGATATATATATATATATATATATATATATATATATATATGTATACACACACTCACACACACAGGGTGTTTCAGGGTTAAGTGGCCAAACTGCATAAATGAACTAAGGACCTCAAAACAAGAAAAAAATTACCTCTGAAGGTATGTTCGCAAACACTTTGTTTAGAAGATATTCACACCTAAAGATTTTTGTTGTTATGTTATATGAAATAAATAAAACCTATTTATTTGTTCTAACTACTTTAATAATTAAATGTAAACATTAATATTCACATTAAATGTTGTCCACAACAATGGCTAATGTTAATTATCCCAATCAATAGATTGGCCATGCAGGACCAGTGGCCTCTCCAGACCTAACATCACTAGATTTTTTTGTTTGGGGTGAAAAGACTAAAAGTCTATGCAAGACAGGTCGATGATCTTAATTCCTTACGAAAAAGGATAATTAAATCTTGTGAAACAATAACACATACCCAATACCGTTCCACAACTACTGCTGGTGTAGAAAGATTCCAAGCCTGTCTCAGTGCTCAAGGAAATCACTTTGAACAACATTTAATATGAATTTAATGTTTACGTTTAATTAATAAAGTAGTTGGAACAAATAAATAAGTTTTATTTACTTAATATAATGTAAATAATTCATAACTATGAATATCTTTAGGCGTGAATATCTCCTAAACAAAGCGTTTGCGGACATACCTTCATAGTAATTTTTTTTCTTGTTTCGAGGTCCTTAATTTAATTTGAATTTAATATTTATGTTTAATTAATAAAGTATTTTGAACAATTAAAATATTTAAGTGTGAATATCTCTTAAACAAAGCGTTTGCGGACATACCTTCATAGTAATTTTTTTTCTTGTTTTAAGGTCCTTAATTCATATTTTCAGTTTGGCCGCTCAACCCTGAAACACCCTGTATAATAATAGAAAGTACCGTGATCATGAAAAATTTTGAATCCGAGCTTTAAATGAAATTACATGTTTCTAAGTCCTTTGAATCCTAATAACCATGACTTACAATGAGGTCTGTGTGCATTTGAATAACTAGTTCAAAAACGAAAAGTCACTACAAAACTGAAGTTAGGTATATAAGGTAGCTTAAAGTATCAAAATTGATTGAATAGAAAATACATTTTTTTTTTCGAAACAGTTCTAATGATTTTTATTGAACTTTTCATTTTGATGTAAAATTAAATGTTTTTTTAAAATCAGGTAGTAATTGTTCTTATGGAAATAGAAATAGGGGTCAAATGCCAAGTTTTCGAAATCTAATCCTCTTAATTACTTTTAATTTTATTTATTTAAAATAATTAGATATAAAAAATGGAAAATATGAGCTATAGAAGAATTTAATAATTAACTGAAGGAGAAAATGGGAGAAATATTTTTGCAGATTCAAATCAATTTTTTATAAATAAGACTAGTATAATAGATGTACAATATTTACATTATTTTATAAATAAATTTAATATATTGTTTGAAATATATATTTGGTGGGTTGTAGGGAGGTGTAAAAGTGCTTGTAACTGGACCGTGGTATTCAACAACTTCGCCGTACACCGTCCTCTTCGATTCTTGCCCTGTACCCACAACGCTAGTTCAGAGTGGTGTCCTTAGATGTTTCTGTCCAGGTAAACATTTTACTCCATGATGTTTTGTGTATTAGTCTCTGGTAGAGACCCATTTTTATCATATAATCACCTGTCTAAAATTTCGTGAATAGCTTCATCTCATAGTTACTTTTATTTACAAGAATTCTCGGAATTGGGGCGTTTCTGATCTGGAGATCGGCAAACTTTGTCGATGAAAAAAAATTATATTAATAATTTGATAAAAATGGATCTTTACCACGGACTATATTTATCAATATAAATGCAATTTTCATATTAGTTGCACATACTTATTTAAACATTAATTTGATTTCCTTATTGATTTGAATGATGTATTAATTTATTTTTCTTCTAATATAGCTCATGAGGCTGGAGTAGTTACATTACAAGTGGCATGTGAAGGCTTTGTGATATCGAATTCAGCAATGTTCGAGTACAAGAGGCGTGGAACTCAACCTCATGACTCTCTCCTCAGATTCACACTTTCCCAAAGGCTCGACAATCTTGACTCTCGACTTGATATAAAGCAAGAACCTCAAGATCCGGTCAGTGGAACAGCATCAATACAATTGCATGATGGATTTTCCAAACTTGATCATTTCGGCCAGTTTCCACAATTATTGTGTTTTAAGTCAATTTTTACTGAATTAAAAAAATACATCGGTCATTCTTTTTCTCCAAAGTCATTCGTATTTGTAAATATCATTAATATTATCCTTAGATCTCTGTACCTTTTTCCAAATAGTAATTAAAGTTTCCATTAATTTTGTATGGTAATTGTCTAATTCATGTAGTTTTGTTATGATCACTTCGGAAAATACTAAACTTGCAATCTAAATACTAATTTTAGAAATAATTCATCACTCTTATGTCCAAGACTTATTGAACTAGGGCTGCACCCCCTGTCCACCTAACGGTGGACCAATCCCATTTTACAAACTATATAACTGTTCATTTAATTTTAATACTCGTTGGTCAAATCGTTTAACTGTAATTAATGTATGTTCTGTAGTTCACATTGTATTATTTTTTATCAACATAAAACAAAAGGAACAATACCACAGTTCGGACAAATTTTTAATTTGTTTAAAAATCTATATTATATATTGCGCCTTATTTAAAGAATATATTGTGATTTTTCAAGTATTTAGCTCAAATAACTCAGAAAACCAAGAATAGATCAGTGAAAAAAATAATTTTCAATTTGAGAAAAGGCTTCAACCAGAAAGCCATTCTCCTCTTGAATCCGCCAATGGACTCACTATTTATTCCTGTTGTCTTCATTAGTTAATTAATAAATGCATGAAGTATAATATTATGTTAGTAATGAACTTAATGTTTTTATAAAATAGTAAAAAATTTAATTATACAGTTTTTTTTACTAAAAGATTTTTAGTAAATTAATATTATGAAGTAAACCCTATAATAATTTGAAAAATTCAAATAATATAAAATTGCATGCTATAAAATTCTACTCGCAGCTTGTTGCTATATTGTTGTGATAGATATTGTTGTGACAGCTGGAAATCTCTGCGTCTCGAGGAGGCAACGGTACCAGCTTTGAGGACAAGTTAGTCTGCGAGGTCGGAAAGATGAGCAGGAGGATGTGGCGTGATACAGATACAGTTGAAACTACCGTCGACTGGTGCGACACTTACAATGGCATGACATTGCTTCATCTAGCTGCCAGCCTCGGTTATTCAAGGTATATTTTCTTAATTAATCTTAATGATTTTACTTGCATTTTAATTATTTACTTGTTAAAATAAAATTAAATTATTTGTGTAATTAAAAAAAATTAATAAGTGAGGTTATTATTTTTTTTTTAACTGTGGTATGAATGCTTCCCGGCCATGAAGGCCTATTGTTCGCCTCTATTAAAGTCACTCCTATTTGAGCGTAATTTCTGCAGTCTCAATGAACTGAAGTAAGCTTGTTGGGTTGATGAGCTTGTTTGCCTTGGGATCAATGCTATCACTATCAATGCTGAATAATCGGAACCTCAGTTCAGCAAACCTGTCACACCAAGTGATATGATAAGCTATTTCATCCTCCTGGACAAAGAGACGACTCCATTAGCTGGAGATTGAACATACGATAATTCAGTTTACAATGTCCAGTATATACCGCTGTAATTTTCTTAAGTAAGCTCCTGCTCAAGTTAATTAGTAGGTTGCTTTTTTTTTCGAACAACCTAGAGTGAGTCTGTCTTTTCAAGCACCAGTATTTTTTAGCTTCAGCACCATAGATCTCCCCAATTCTGTTATTTATTAGACGCAGACTAATTCCACAGATGGGCTCAGGAGCTATGGGAATCGCTTGTGAGCCTAGTCTAGCTAGTTTAACCGCCATCTCATTACCATTAATGAATTCCAGACCCGGAACTCATTCAATATTTACCTTATTGAGTCTAGATAAGTCATTGAGAATTCCTCCTTAATCCTCAATAGCCTTAGATCTAGTTGTATAATTGTCCAGTACTGCTTGATTGTCAGTATATATAGAAATTTTCCTTCCCACCAACCCATCAAGCAACAATTTTGAGGCACAGTGAGTTATCGCCAATATTTCAGATTGGAACACCGTTGCATATTTGCTGAGTGGTATTGACATGCGTTCCTCTGGTTCATCCTTTCTCCAAAAGCCAGCACCAGATCCGCATGTCATTAGTGACCCATCAGTTTAACAATGAATCCCATTAATGGGTGAGATTTTTGTATGATGTAAAAAATGTTCATAGGAAAATTAGCCCAAATATATTTAAATTTAAAATAAGTGTGTAAATAGATAAATGAAAAATATGATTATAAATATTATATTATGTTATAAATATGATGTACAATAGCTATAATATGAAATATAACAGCTGTGATGTTTTATTTCTTTTAAAAAAAAAAAATGTTGTCCTTAAAAATGACCTGAAGGTCTGAAACGTTGATGAATGTAAAAAAAGAAAGACAGATAGATCAATTGTGGAGTTATGTTATTAGAAATCAAGTCTTAATAATCTTATTTAATATCTAGATTGGTCTGCTCATTGATTCATTGGCGAACCCAGTGCCCATCTTCCATCCTCGAACTAGAAGTAGATGGCCTGAATCAAGACAACGATGGATATACTCCTCTTGTAAATGCAATTTTATTATTTCTTTCATGTTTTCTCATTTATTTTTCAATTAATGTTATTAGTATCAATCACTAAACTATATCCTAACACCTTATTTGAAATATCTGTATAATTATTATATTTTGATATCTCTTATTCCACCTTATTTTTTTGTCATTACAGATGAGGGCATGCGAGAGGGGACACTCTGAGACAGCACAGCTGTTGTACGAATGGCTCCCGGCTAGCGGATCGGTAATGAACAAGAGGGGAGAGGGGCCTGTTGAAGTCGCTAAGAAATTCAGCCATAACTGGCTTGCATCCGAGTTGCAAGCTAGGCAAGAAGCTGCCTTCATACCGCATTCCTCATCTACTAAAGGTTTATTATTACGTCACATTATAATTAAAATTTAATTATTTAAAATGATCTTGTTATTTATTTAGCTTGAGCACTCTTGTGCTCCAAGGAAAGGGTACTTTGTTGTATCCAAATTTAATCTTAACCTCTAATTATCTTTATATTAATAATTAGCTTATTATTTCAATAAAATAATGACGATATGTTTAATTTTCAGGATCAATAAAAAAGGACCAGGAAAGGGGAGAAACGGAGAGTACTAACGGTTCTCTTGAGTCGTTGCACAGCTCGCGAGATGATGGTGTTTTCCTTCATCCCAATTCCTTAGTTAGGTAAGTATTGAATAGGATTCAGTGTATGTAAATTTTAAAAAAATATGTTTACAATTCTAGAAGTTTTAGTTGTTTCCAAATTAACCATTCTTTTTGCACCACTTTATACAATGAGCTATAGTATGCTTTTTGGGAAGATATAACTTAAAATTAGTTAAAAATTTCTGAAGGAATTGAATTTCTGTTTCGAGGTGAGGTTCCACGATTTGGAAAAAGGATGAATATGCTGATTCATAATTATATTTGATCAGCAGTTTAAAAACCACTTGTAATCATGTGCAAGAATGTGTTGCATTAAATTCCGGGCTCATTACATATCGATTCATGACCTTCATGATTTAAATAAGAAATTTATCATTTTACATGTGTTTCTTATTTCTCTGTTCTGTAAAGATCTTTACTTATTAACAAAGTATTGTAACATTTCTCTTATATTTTAAGCTAGTAATAAACCTCGTGGAAGATCAGTTTATATGGAATACTTTCTATATAGATAAGAGGATATTGAATAATAAACAAAATTATAACAGTATTAATATATTAATTTATAATTATTTTATCTCAGGTGTGGGTTACTGACAATCAGATCAAAACACTCTGACAAACTATTATTATTTACACTATTTATACTAAAATTAAACACTGATTTTAAAATAAAGTCAAGTATGCATTGGAAGGCTAACCTTTTTCCTGTAGATACTGTTTCTTCCTTTGTTTCATTAAATTCATTTGTCTTCAAATGCTTTCCAATCTTCTGCCAAACACATCTTCCAAAATGGTGACACTTTCTTCTACTCAACTCAAGCTCCCTGGGAGATCCTCTCTCTTGCAATTCCAAACAACAAGTCTCTCTACCAAACAACAACTTCCAAGATGGTAACACTATTCTTGGGTTTTACCCACTGGAGCCAGGATCCGTTTTCTCATCCTCTCTTCACTGCAGTCACACAACAACTGTTTGCCAAAACAAAATCCTTTGGAATTTTCCTTTCTGGGGAAACTACAGAGCAGCCATTTTCTTTTCCATGCACTAGTGAAACTAGATTAGCTTGCCTTTTAACTGTTCAACATTAATTTATTAAACCCTTTTTACCCACTTCCAATAAAGGGATTATTACAATACAGATTCATGACCTTCATGATTTAAATTAGAATTTTACATGTGTTTCTTACTTCTCTGTTCTGTAAAGATCTTTACTTATTAACAAAGTATTTCATTGCAGTTTTCACAGTATTTTATATCCTGTCATAAACTTCACAGGTCAGAATTAGGTATGAATATGGAACTACACGTGAACATTCCACAATGGTCCGAGGGTAGAAGAGCCATCAGCAGGACATCTACTCCAAGCCCTAGTACAGGTACGCTCATCCTTGGTTTTTTTTACCTGATTTTCTCAATAATATAAATATTCTTGTTAGTCAGAATTTAATTTTGCTTTAGAAGGACAACTTTCCAAGCTGCTGTGCGGCGAAAGGTTAGTAAAAAGGCCTTCGGTTGACTCTGGTATTCAGTTACAATCTTCGCTCGACAGTTTACCATCAAGTCAAATTTCATCCGGTCGCCAGAGCAAACTTTCAGATTCTTCAAAGCTATCAAGGTGAATAAATATATTGTTTTTAATATTTTGTTACTATTATAATCTACTACGTATATATGAGGGTGGTCTGAAAAGTTTATGACCTAACTAAAATACAAGACTTTTTTCTGATTTTTTTTTTTTTTTTCAACATATTCTCCTTGTAACTCTACACACTTCTCCCAGCAATGCTTCCATCTCTGTAACCCGTCCAAAAAGTACTCGGCGTCATTCTCTGCAAAATAATTGTTCATGGAGGTGATTGCCTCTTCATTTGACGAAAATCTCTGTCCTGGGAGCGCAATTTTTAGATAAGGGAACAAAAAGAAGTCACTTGGGCTAGATCTGGGGAGTAAGGCAGATGGTCAAGCAGATGAAGCCATAATTCGTGGATTTTCGCCATGTTAGCCGCTGAGGTGTGAGACGGTGCGTTGTCTTGCTGAAACAGGATTTTCTTTTTCTGCAAATGTGGCCGTTTTTCCGCAAGTTCTGCCTTCAGCTTATCTATCAAGTAATGATGCATAGTATGCTCCTGTAATGGTTTTTCCTTTTTGAAGATAATCAATTAAAATAACTCTATGACTATCTCAAAAAACAGTCGTCATCACTTTCCCAGCTGAGAAAACAGTTTTTGCTTTTTTTGGTGCCGATTTTCCCTTTGCAGTCCACTGTTTGAACTGTATTTTTGTTTTGGGTGTATAATGGTGTATCTAAGTTTCATCTACAGTAATTAATTGGCACCAAAACTCGGATTTATTGCGACTAAACTGTGCCAACAGAGCGTTGGAAATGTTCATTCGCATTTTTAGTCTAACATGAGCAAACACGGCACCCAACGTGCGGACAGTTGTCTTATATCTAAATGTTGATTTAATATGCAACGAACATGTTCTTTTGACATGTACATAACATCTGCTATCTCTCTCACTTTAATTTGGCGGTCGTCTTACACCATTTGGTGAACTTTGGCGACTGTTACATAAACTTTGGTGGGTAACTGTCAACAGATGAACACAAAATTCACTTGCTTTTATTTACGAGTGCTGCCATCTTCAAGTTGCAGTCGGAAACTTTTCAGACTACCCTCATACTTATATTACAGAGTGAATGAACAAAAAATATTGTTTACACTAAATTACACCATCTTCTTTAAATAGTTTAAAACAGCGTGTTCATAAAATAATTTTTAGTTTAAAGCCATCGAACTATCTAATCATTATTTAATAAATCTATGACTAAGGATTCGAAATAGTGAAAAATTGTACCTAAAATGTATTCCTTATCATTCATCTTTTTTCACTCATTTTATTTTCTTGTTTCAGATTTGATAGAAGTATGTCATTGCCACTGAACCCACAACCAGGCGATCTAGGCTATGAATCGAAACTAGACAATCATCCATCACCAATAAGAAGAATGGATTTCACCCTATGTAAGTTCTTATTAAAAAACTAATTAAAATCTGACAAATGGCTCTTTCTACATAACAAAAAGAAGATTTTATTATTTAATGGCGCCTTTATTATTGATCTTGCTATAAGCTATTTGAACCAAATAATTTTATTCAAATCGGTTATTAAATTTTAATATTGTTGTATTTTAACTATTATTTTAAAGAAAATTCTATTTCAAACAGGTAAGTGATTAGGAATGACTTTTATCTCTAGTTATTAAGTCTTAAATTTTATTCTTGATACAATTTCGCTTAAAATTTTTTGCACTGTTACACATATCTTTTATTATGTTTAGATTTACTTTGTATCGATAATATGCATTTCGATTATTAATACTTAGTGCATAGCCATTCGAACCTAGAGGAGATTGCTCATTATTAAAAAAAAAAATAGGACAAAGTTGCTTAGGATGGGGACCACTTATTAGTTCCAGATATATATTCAGCAAAATTTTGATGAAAATTTTCAGTTAAAAAAGTAAATAGTTGTCTATAACTTGACAGAATAGGCAAGTTTCTAAAGTCATCACTGAAACCTCCAGTTCTTTAGACATTTGGAGTCAATACCTTACAAAAGACTTGGAGGTAGATCCAGGATATCATATGACAAATTTATCACCTGATTGGGCATTGTTAAAGAATCAAAATGGCATTGTGGTCCAACTTAGGCAACCTTTCCTATTTGCTAATTTTACTTTAGATCTAATCGCATAGTCTGTGTATGCATATTTTCATTGCTTTGACCTAATTTACAATTATAATATTTTACATTTTTTTGGCTTTTAATGCATTTCATTATCCAATAATCGATCCTTAGTTTCAAATTGATGTTTTAATGTTTTTTGGAGCACTAGCCTATTTACTTCCATTTTTCTTTTTCTTTTCTTTTTCAAATTCTATGTCATTTTTAGATTACTTTTGGAATATTTCAAATCAAAAGCTTTTAGTCTGAGATCGATGTTCATTACGGACCTGTCAACGTTTCCTCAAATTTAAGCATCCTCAAGACTGTTAAGAGTTAATTTACATCATTCCTTTAACAAATAATAACCCACTTTCCACGTTCCTTATACTTTTACTATATCCAATGCATCCTCAAAATCATAAAATCATGGAGATACCAAAATTTGTTAATTTGTTTATGATAAACTTTAAATTGAGAGATAAAATCTTTTTGATTTTTAATTATACAAAAGTAACCTATAATTATAATAATTCTCTATAATTTGTGTTTCCCTCTCATTTTATATAATTTTTATTTTTTAAATTGAAATTATAATTTCAAAAAAGCTTAAATTAATTAATAAAATTGAATTGTTGAACTGTTGAAGCTCCAGAGACGTCAAAGCAGATATGTATACAATCATATGGTACTAACAAAAAATATTTCTTCCTTTATATCAGGGGTGGATGAAAACTAGCTGTAATTGAACAATAAGCTATATAAGCTGTTTCAAGCCTGCAATCATTAATATATCATTGTTGTTGTTTTTTTAATATTTATAATTTGTCAGGTTAAAATGTAATGAATAACAACAAAGCCATTCTCATCCTGTCCAGACATCTCATTAGTTCCCTTCCTTATTTTGCTCTACTTTACCTCAATAACCGCCCCATCCATTTTTTCCCTACAGTCAAAATCTTAGGAGTAACATTTGACCCAGAACCTCTCCTGGAATAACCTCCCAGATTACCCGAAAATCCATAACTGTCCTAAAAAAAATCCTGAGAATCCATGATTGTATTCCTCTGAAAACCATACAACTCCTTGTAACCTCCCTTATATTCTCCCACTTCAACTAAGACTGCTTGGTGTATGGAGGGCTATCTGCCAGGCTAGAAATGAGACTGAAGAAACTCATGAACTGTTTCATAAGTTACATCTTTGGGATCCCTTAGCATTCCCATGTTCCATTCTGGTATACGGAGTTGATGTGGCTTTATCCTACTTCCGGACGACAATTCCTCCTTGGTGTTTTCTTTTTCTAAGTCCTCAGAACCAAAAACCTTCTCTACATCTTAGAACTCCTCACTTTACACTCCTCTATCCACTCTCTCAAAACCAGGTCTCTTTCTATAGATTTATATATCCCCTCCCATAAATCTGCTTCCTTCAGCAAATCCTTCGTCATTCGTGCTGCCTTTTGGAACTCTCTACCTAACTCCATTCGTCAATTCTTGTCCACGAATTCCTTCAAACAACTGCTATTCCACCACTTACTCGATATTCAAATTTTCACGAATATGTAAAATCTACTTGAGTCCATGCTGTTTAATTCAATCTACTGCACAATTGCAATAACAATCAATAGTTTATTAGGCATAATTTTTTATGCATCTAAGCCAGACTAATGCTCTTAATTATGTAACTCTGTTATTATTCTTCGGAGACTGTAATCCCAGAATAAAATTATTTTTTCATTAATTTATTCATTTCATACAGAAATTGTTTAAAAAAACATGTATATAAAAAAATATGATTTTTATAATGGACTTATTTGATTTAAGTGTTTGGCACCATAAAAACATATTCAAGATCTTCCTGCCTTAAATATAATTTATTGCAATTGACATGGATTAGGTACTAACCCACACAATCTCTAATAATAAGTTTATTTAATGATATTTATAATATGTACATAATGATCGGTCATGTTTTGACCGACGGTGAACAACATTTCACACTACAGTAATTCTAAAATCATTAACTTAAGTACATTACTTTGTTTTTTTGACAGTAGGAAAACTAATATTAATAATAATTATATAAATAATTAATCTCACAATCTCTAAAATTTCATCAAAAATTGGATCAATCGTATAAGTTGATATACCTATAACATGAATTTGATTACAGACAAACAGACAAGAAACTAAATTTGTTCCTTGATGTCCAAAACATATAACATTAGTGAAAATTTTCAATGCTAAGTACAAAATTTTTTTTAACCTCCTGCACGAATACAAAGCTTCCCTACTTTTGGCAGGTAGCGGCTATGCAACATTGGTGAATTGCAATAAAAATGTAAATTATAAAATATTTTTATAATCGATTAATGGCGTAAATACAATAACAGAAGGAGAAAATATTTGTGATAAATTATTGATGTCTAAATGAATATTAAATATAATTCTCCCCTTGACACTTAAGGAGAAAGCCCTGATGAAGGCCTGAACTTCAGGTCGAAACGTCGGCATATGTAAAAAATAAATATTATAATTTATTTTTTGCCTTCCTTTTTGACTGAGCACCCCAACTATTCTTCTCTTCATTAATTATAATTCATTTAGTCCCTATTCTTCTTCATTAATTCTCTTTCAATCTGCTGTTTTTTAATCAAACCTGTAAGAAATCATTGTCCACCCCTGCTTATAAATAAATAAAAATCGATATTTGTATAAACGTGTTTATTATTTATAGTTAAATTATGTAAATATATATATTTATATGTAAAACAAAATGGTATGATTGTGTACATTATCCGAAAATTGGAATGTTGGATAATTTGGAACAGGTGACGCTAAGAGGGAGACTTCGCCACTCCAGATGGATGCTGTCCTGCTGTCGACGGAGGAAGTGAAGCGACAATCCGTAGGTACGTAGCTTAGGAGTCTAGTATCAGTCATTGTTATTTGTCAAATCTGAAGCCATATTATCTGATATATGACAAAATTTAACATAAAAATGACTTCATTTATATAAATTATATGGGAACTTTCTCCTACCTGAGTCTGATTTTTTTTTACAACTCTTAGAGAACTCATACTTCATGGTTCACTTTAAGAGAATTCGTACGTTATAGTTGACTTTAAGAGAACTCTCGTGACGGATTTGTGAAACATCATTGTTTATAGTTCATGCCCCTTAAAAGACAGCTCGTACCAGTTCAGGGTTTGAATGTAACGAAACGACTATACACTATCCCCTATTACTGCATAAAAATTGAATAAAAACATGAAAAATTCTAAAAAAATAAAGCGTTTTATATTTGCAATATTTCCTTATCGCTAAAAAACAATATCTTAACATACTTTAAATCTCTTCAAAAATATCAGGTAGGATTTTATTTTTAATTTTTTTTTTACTTTATTACTTACGTCCATTTACAATATTTTTTTGTTTTCCTAATTATATAATATTATTTCTCTCTATTTTTAAATAAAGTAACTTGTGCACCTTTTACTTAGCCTCCTTTACATGCTACACTGCTGATAAAATGCTATGGCCTCTAGATTTTCTGTAGACATAATTTTTGTATGCTCTTATATATATTTATTTATTTAAAAATTTATTAAAATGAATAAATTAATTAAGGTTTAGATTAAACGTTTAAAATCTTTGAATGAATATTAAGATGCATGATATTTAAATAAACTAAAGCTTTGAATACTTAAGCATGTTAGATTTTATCATATTATTAATTAAGAATATATTTGTTTTTTATACGGTCATATTACTTTGTTCTGATCTATAAACTTAAAAAAATTTCAAATATAGTTCTCGACGGCATCTGACTTTTTTTTTTATAACAGGTGAACAAGACGCAAGAGTACTTACGCTCGCTGAACAAATAATAGCTGCTATGCCTGATAGGATAAAGGTATAATTTTTTTTCTTATTTATAAATAAATGATAACATTTCTCAGTTCAGATTATTTATTTTTTTTTTTTTTTAACTGTCCCTGTTATTAATAAGTATATCTTTGATAATATAGAATGAAAGTGAAGGTGACATGATGATGTTAAGCTCGGACGATATGGAAGTGATGTCGATGGAGTCGCCTCTTCTTCTGGATGAGCCACCCTCTTCTTCTTCATCTTGTTGTTTTGACAGCTCGGAATTTAATTTTGATAACAATTATAGGTTAATATCTTTCACAGTGATAATAATATGTAGAAATTTATTTTAATGTAGTTAGAGTTTGATAAAATGTAATTTACAAGCTGTAAATGATGAACCATTTTGAATATTGACAAAGAGTTTTAATTTGAGGGTCTTTAAACATTTTTTGATGTGTTATTATTGGTTTTCTAGGAAGAATAATTGATCAAATACATATTTCCATGAAAATAAATTTTACAATTTATGTGATATATCCACATTTTTTTCTTTTATGTAATTTTAGTTATTCATAAAACTCAAAAAATAATTTAATATTAACAATATTAAACTAAAAATTGTTTCATGTAATGTAACTGTATATATTTATCTCTTATATTACTTGAAATACTGCCTTCTGATGTGTTTTTTCACAAAGAAAATGTCTGCATCTTCCAATTTTCTGTTAGAGTGTCAAAATAATAATGTCTTTTGAATCCCTGTCCGGACGCCAAAATATAAAAATTCCATCTTTAGAGCAATTTTCATTTACAACAAAAACTAAATTTAATAATTTATTAATGATGTAGAGATGGTTGACCATTGATATAATATGAGAAGGAGTTAATTGGGGGGTGCGGTCAAATAAATACTAAATTAAAATATTGTAATTATTTAATTTTTGCCAGCGTTTCAACTATACACCTTATTATTATCTTCATGCAGCCTACTATTCCATTACCGCTTTCAAAAAACTGAATGTCAATTATCATCTATATATAGTACAACTTGTTTTTGTTTTTTTATCGTCATAACCTTGTTTTACATTTATATTTACATTCTAAAGTTCTCTTTTAAAATTGTTGTTTTCTTATAGAGTTATTTATACTTAATAATCTATCCTAACGATATTACACTAATGTTGTCCTATTAATCTTTCAATTTCTGTACTTCTTAACCTTTAGTCCCGTTAGCTGTTTTACCTACAATCAAATGTAACCTCCACTAGCTTTTTATCCACTGATATCTTATTATTATTTTATCTTATTCTTATTTTAACTTTACTATAACAATATTTATTCGTTAACATTCATTTTCTTTACCTGTTAACCCACAGTTATCTAATGTAATCTCTATTAGTTTGTTATACACTTATTCCTTTTCTTTTATCGCAATCTGTTTACTTTTAACTTATTTGCTATATTCGCCTTTATTTTTATTTTTATTCATACTTATTTTCAATTTGTTTGTATCTTCTACATATATAATACTTAATATTTTAACTACATTGTCACCCACTATATCTCTGATATCTTTTTATTTCTGTATCTGACAACTTCTTCTTATTTTATATCTATTTATATTTATTTTTTATTTTCAACATGTTTTGTATCTTTTGTAGCCCTGAAGATGACCTGCAAAGTGGGTCGAAACGTAGGCAAAAATAAAATAATTACTATATTTTAATTTAGTATTTATTTGACCGCAACCCCCAATTAACTCCTCTTAATAATTTATTGATTGCTGTTATCTATAAGTTTCAATTTAATTTATTATTTAAAAATAAAACCTTCACTATAGTTCTTGTTTACATAACTATAGATATAATTGGCACTTGGCAATAATATAGCCTTCTTGATCTTAATATAATCTAAGATACTTTATTATCTGTCTTTATTATCTACTCTGTATTGGTGGTTTAACTGTAAACTTGTTTGGAAAAATTAGGTATTACGATGTTGGGACTCCTTGCTCATCGCTTAGCCCAGGAAGCTGCCTCCCTTCGCCACCATTCCCACTGCACCGTTCGCCTTCACCGCCGCCAACGACAGCTGATTTCTGTGAATTTCTCCAAGCTTCCAACTCAACTTATTTTGAAAAAGATTTCTCCAATCTCACCCTTTCAGGTTATTTACAGTACCTATATAACATTCATAGATTACTTACCTGATCTCTCGACTATGAGTTAGTCAATAATACATTTAATAAATTTAAATCATTTTAATATGGAGAAATAAATTATGTTTCTTCTTGATTGCTCATGAAATCCTGTTGAAAATTTTTTTCAGATAATGTATCATTTTGTTAATAATTTCTATTTAATTAGGATAGACTGTCCTTCAAAATTTCTGGAAAAATTGAAATGGTTTTAATTATTCCTACTTCAATTGAACCAAATCTTATTTAATATATTTTTTTTATTTTTTTTTTTTTATCTATTCATCTCTGTTGTGATTTCAAGAAAATTCAATATGAAAGAAATTTAAATAAATTCAAATATACTATTTTTATCAGTTTTTATATATTTTATATTTATATGAAATCTTATTTGATCCAGATCGAGAACAGAGAGAACTGTATGAGGCTGCCAAAGTGATACAGAAAGCTTACAGAAGTTACAAGGGGCGTAAGAAGTTGGAGCAGGATAAGGAGAGGCAAGCCGCAGTTCTCATTCAGAACTATTATAGAAGATATAAACAAGTGAGTTGTAGTCAATTTTTACTTTCCTGAAATATATATATATATATATATATATATATATATTTGGGTGGAAAATAACTTATGAAAGTTTTTTTATTATCTTTTATTCGAATTTGTGTTTCAGTACGCTTATTTTAAACAAATGACTCGTGCAGCGATGGTCATCCAGAACGGCTACAGATCTTATTGTGAGAGCAAGCGCTTTAAGAAGAACCAGGAGATGAGCAGCGGTACCCGTGTGTTCAGAAATTATAGGGAAGAGCCCGAAAGTGCACCCAATGGCTTAAAGTAATTAGTTCATCTCTTATTTTATTTTATTATGGATATTGGAGTAGCAACTAGTAGCAGATGCCATGGTGGCTGAGTGTGTTAAAGCATTGCTCAATCTAACATTTGTGAGCTTAGCCGTGCAGATTCGAATCTATAACCTGAACAAGTTGAAACTTTTATTCCGTACCCACAGAATGAATCTTGACCTTCCCATGTTGTTCACAATAAGTTTGGTTATACCTCTAGAACAATCTCCTCTCTCTCCTCTCCTGTGTGCCAGAAATGGAAAGGTAGGGAATAAATGAAAAAAAAAAACTTTATTATGGTTGTTCATTTTTATTGGAGTCCCTATTTAGGATTTACTATAAATCAATTAGATTAAGTTTTTGAATCCCATAATATTTCTCACTACATATTTTACTTAGGAAACATCATTTTAACAAAAAAACAATTTTTATTTTTAAAATTACAGTTTGGGAATGCCTACGCTGTTGATTCAAGTCTGATTGACTTGACAATCAGATTTGTTATTTATTTATATTTTTTTAAGATTATTTGATTTTCTATGCAGTCACTTCTGTATTTATAGTAATATAATATCCAGTGAATACTTCAATATTTAATAAGTAAAGTAAACATTAAATCTTTGTAATGCCTGATTTCTAAGACTTTAATTAAATGTTAACTTATGATAACCATTTTACAAATTAATAAAAAAATATTATACTTAGGAGAACTTATTCTCAACGGAGACAACACCAAGCAGCTAGAAAAATTCAGCAGTTCATGAGGCAGTCAAAAAATAAGTAAGTTAATGCAAATGTTCAATTTTATTTATAGTGAAAAGGGAAATACCTTATAGCAGAGATGGGCAAATGCAAATTTGAGACCGATTACCAAGTATTTTACTCAAATTGAATTCTTTGGTACTCATGAAAGGTCAGTATTTAAGTAAAATACTTGGTACTCAGTACTCAGAGTAGAATTTGTCTATATCTGACTTAAAGTAGCCACATTTTGACTCAAATAAATATATTTTATCTAGAATGAAAATATTCATACAAATTTTTTTCCTACAATCCTTTTTTTTTTCATTACGATATGGTCACGGATTTGCTTCCTGTTTTTTTTTTTAACATTGTTTGGTCAACCAGACAGCTTAGCCAATTTCATTCTTCAAGTATCCACAAAAGCTTAGTATTCACTTTTTAAAAATATTATTTAGTAACCTTTTTACTATTGTTTACCGAATCAGCTTTCTGATTTTCTGAGTAAGAATTAATGCAAATCACAATTTTCTTGTCTTCTAGGGTACTGAGCTTTTCTTAGACCTTTTCAATTACTTCACCTATTCATTACAATAAATAACCTAGTAAAATTAAGGATTTTAGGTACTTGTATACGATGTGGTTGGGATGGACTGCTATCTGCCAATGTTTATAACCTGAACACTGATAATTCTGAAAAGGCACTCATAATCCTTCTCTTCATATTCATGTTTATGGAAATTGAAATAGACAAAAACAAATGTAATAATAACAAAACACTTTTATTTTACAACATATATATATATATATGTATATATATATATATATATATATATATATATATATATATATATATATATATATATATATATATATATAACAATTATTTTACATTATATACAAAATACAACATATACACATATAAAACACTTTTATTTTCTTGTCTACTTCAACGACTTTGCCATGCCCTCCAATTTTTTTTAGTTGACCTGTATAACATGTTATGGGCACAAACTTCTCTTGAAAACTTGTTCCACTTTACCACACTTTTGTTTGATATTTTCAGCTGCTCTTTGCATAACTGTATTGTTCTTAAATTATGAGACCACCCATAAATAAATTTTATAGCCGTTGAAAAGGTAAGCTTTGACTTCTCTAACCACGTTCCTTTTCTTATAGATACATTTTTCTTACAACTGCTATGAAAATATCTCTGTTTGGTCTTCCTGTCCAACTTCATTTCATGGCCTTCTTCACAGAATTTCACCTTTGGAATTATCCCGACCTTTTGAAAATATTTGATAGCTCCTTCTTCTGAAGACGGCTATTCCCACCATGTAATAATATCCACTTTAATAGATAACAAAATTAACAAAAAATAAACAATGGAATAATTCTCACATGTAGCAGAAGGATAACAACAGCTTACAAGAGACAAGAAGGGAGGTTATGTGATGTAAGATAAGAAGGGAGTTTCTGTTCCAACTGCATACTACACAAGTACCGGATTTTCTATATTCAACTTACAAAAAAAAAATAGATATTTTTTTAATTTTTATCATTATTTTGATCACTAGTACTATGACTATGACGATCTATCATAAAATAAGTTTAAACTGTTCTATTTTCATTGTTTTATCGCCATATATTTGAAGGTTAATTACAATTCTTTTCAATTGTATACTTAAGGGGTTTATGTATACAAAAGTTAGCAAAAGTGAGAATTCTGTAGTTTACCTAATTTAGGATGAACGCACCAATTATGGACAGGGGACCCAGCGATGGAGTGGTTGAACTTTAAATGTAAATAATAAGCTTCCTTGTTGATTTAAAGTTTCCAGTTTTTTCTAGATTGAAGAACAATGTCCTCTATAGACAACTGTATTAACAAAGTTCTCCCAAAAAAATTAAAAAAAAAAAAATTCCTATCATTGTTGTTTCTATAGTGCTTTTGAGATCAATGTGTTTCATATCTCCCTAGTAACAGGTTTTCTTAGAGTAAGTTGAACACTTCTTATCTTTATCATTATATTTATAGTTAAATAAATATTTTAGAATTTTTCGGAGGCCTGTCCATTATTGGTAGCGACCCCCTGTCCATTACTAGAACAATTGAATTTCGAGGTGTCCATCACTAGTGCAAAAAGGTGTTTTTTTTTTTTTTTAAATGGAGATTATATCTGCAAAACTGATTTTTTTTTTAATTTTAAAATTTTTAATAGAAAAAGGAGATCCTTGGGATTCTAAATGTGACAAAAATTTCCTTAGCTATGTCCATCACTGGTATGCTTACTCTAGTTACAATAAAAAAAAAAAAGTAACTTTCATACATGAATAGTCATCTTAACCCAGTCCTCCCCCAACAGTCTATCGAGTCCACTTCGACAATTGCAGTTCCGTTTACCCTGAAGAGCCCTCACATCCTCAGAGACAGCATGCAAGCATGCCTTCTCAATCTTCTCTTGCCATGTAGCTTCTCATTCAGGACCTTCTTGAGAATCTCACCGCTCCATATTCTCTCCACATATCCAGTTCATTGGGGTCTTCGAAATTTGATAAACTTGATAATATCAATACCTAGAATTGAGAGCTCCATGTTTTTTTCTTTCTCAAGACGTTGCCTAGTGGACCAAAATATTTCCTTCTGACCAATAGGTACAACCTTCAAAGTTAAATATATTTCAAAAGTGACAATACCATTTTTGGTATCAAGCTTTATTTTATTGATGTTATCTTCATAAAATTTTATATTATACAATAATATTGGATTTTTTTTTTTATTACACTTGGTTTTGGTTTGATATGTAAATTGACTTTATTGATTAAGTCTTAAAATTAACAAATTTCTTTTTAAAACTAACTTTTTCTCCACTGTTCCAATGCTTAGCTTATGGGATATAAGTGCTGGAACAATAGTAAGTATATTTTCCAATTTATAATTATAATTTGAATTAATCTTAATTTTGATTAAATGTAGATTAAATATTTTTGGAAATATTTTATTAGAAATATTATCATTGACTGATTTTTATTTTTAATAAAAAGATTACAGAGAGAGCGAGCAGAAAGAGAGAAGCAGGCCCGATGCAGGGGGTCCCCTCATCAAAATTAGCCCTTCTTCCGTTCCATGTCTCCAAATAAAGGTTGATAAAGTATATAATAACAATTATTTATTATAATATATTAATAATTATTTATTGAAATATGTTAATATTCATATTTTTTTTATAATAATGTCGTTAATATATTTTACTTAATTAATTAATTATAGATTATAAATTGGATTCCCGTTAATTCCAAGAAAAGAAATAAAATAGTTTCTTATAAAGTAAATAATTGTTTACTTTAAACCCTTTTTTTTTTTTCCTACCCCCTAGGAAATTATTTGCTATACAAAATACGATATATAAATGCATAATGAAATATATATACAAAAAATTTCTAATTTCCTTTTATTGCCCAAGGGCATTTTAATGTATATGGGCTATGCACGAAGTACCCATACAGCGTACATAGCCCTTTTACCTTAAAATGCCCTTGGGCAATAAAAGGAAATTAGAAATTTTTTGTATATATATTTCATTATGCATTTATATATCATATTTTGTATTGCAAATAAATTCCTGGGAGTTAGGAAAAAAAAAAAAATGTAAACCCTTTTTGTTTTTAAATAATTTATTAAATTTATTTTAAAAAATAATCATTTGATAACATTTCGAACTCTTTTGCCCATTTTCAAGTTGATGACAACAATTATCTTGATCAGTTATATTTCTTATATCTTGTCTGCATCTTAAATATGTTATTTAATAATTGTTTATTTCTTACAAAATATAAACAACACTTTTTTGTATGTTAAAACTGTTCAATGTTAAAAAATGAAAAATCTAAAAATAGTTACTTAACACTGAACTATTAACCTTTAAATGTACTCTTAACTAGAAAAAGTTTTGAGGACTTATCGATTATACTAGCCTAAGAATATTTGGCTGAAATAGCTTCTTTTTTTTTTATTGTGGGTTGATGGTTGACTATAGTGAATAATGAAGAGAAGGATAGTTGAGGTGATCAGTCAAAAATAAAAAAGGGAAAAATAAATAATAATATTTATTTTAACATTTGCCTAATAAATATTTATTTTATTTGTTAAAATAAATATTATTATTTATTTTTGCCATTTTTATTTTTGACTGTGCACTCCAACTATCCTTCTCTTCCTTTTTTGTTTTTAATTTGTAAATTTGATGAATACGTCTAATAAAGAAGAATAAAACTAAAAGTTTTAGAGTATGGTGTAAATATATGGAATAATTTTTTTAATTACTGAATTGGAAAGGCTGAAATATTACAATATGACTTTTATAATGTATTTTTTTTTTAATTTGATATATATTATTATTATTGTTTTCTTTGGAATGGACCAACTATTACTCTATGATTAATTAACTATTAAAATATTTTAATATTCTACTTTAAACAAACATTATTTATTTTATTTGTGTTTCAGGAAATTCTTGTAATCTTGAGAACTTCTCTTTGCACGTCTTCTTCCATGAATTTTTAGCATCATATCCAATTTTTCGCGGATTTTAATTTTGGAAAAATTTCGTTTTCTGTTATAGGGGATAATCTTTTTCTTTTATTGTTTTGTAATTAATTCTAAGCTACTGTTCTATTTATATATTTATAAAATATTCGAAACATTGTCAAGGCTGTGTGATAGTTATATTTTAATGATGAGTTGGTTTAAGAACAGTTTTATTTCACATAGGACGTCATTAGAGAATCACATATGATTTCCAGCTGTGTGTTCTTATCTTTAATAATAGATAGGGTTTTTTTTGTTATGATTTATGACAAGAAAAAATAAAATAAAAGTGAGAATGTGACAAAAGAATCGAGAAACGGATATTTTTTGCCACCTCCACTATATAGTCTGTTGTGTTCTATTGCAAATTTTATCCCCTCTACCGGAGTCAGGTTATTTTTGCACTTTGTCCTAATTGTAATACAGTGGTCTTCAAAACGTTTTCGGTTCTCGGAACCTATGTGTTATAAATATTTTGTGAATATTTGAACAGTTAAAAAAAAAAGAAAAACATTTCAGGGTGTATATTAAATATTTTCATTTATTCTTAATTTATTAAATTATTTTCATATTCTCTTAAATAAAGAAGTATATCACCACTTAAAAATCATGTATTACATATTAACTTCATCAGTAAAACAAATTAAAAAGCTTTTGCCATCCCTTTTACTTTGCTTCTATAACAACAATAGTCCATTTTTTCTATTGTGTTTAGGGGAAGATAACCAAAATTGTTGTTATGCTTGACAGATATTTGGTGTTCTTTTCAAAATTTAAAGTGTTTGATTTTTTTTTTTAATTTGAGTGTGAAAAATTATTTGGAATGTCTTAGTTTTAATTTCATCTAATATTTTTTCAATATTTGCAATGTTTGAGACGCTAATTCATTCCCTAGTATTATATTTTATGTTGGGACTACATAAATTTGCATTGTAATAATTGTACATATTCATTCCGTTCCTGTTTGGGCGCCAAATATAACACTTTAAGCGGTTTTGATAACCAGCAACAACTAATAAATTTAACTATTTATTGATAAATTTTATCAACCAGTTACCATTTAAATTATAACCCTTACTGGAGTCCTTGTATGTAACGTATATACATATATAGTTAGCACTTCATGATTTATCAATTCACCAACACTTGTTGATATAAAATTAACCTTTACACTGATAACAGCCTTCTTGTTACAAAATTCTACATTACTGATTCACTCACTAATTAGAACTCAAATAACTCTTTGAAATACAATCTATGTACTTAAAAACTAACTATAACTAACTGGACTCTGATAACTTGCTTATATAGCTGTTAGCTGTTAGATGTGGAAGCTGCATGTTCGTAGTTTCACGTTAAATAATTTGTTTTATACAAATAACTGTCAAACTTTTATTTTTAATTTATGATATAATGGACATAGATATCAGTTATCAATTTCTGAAATAATAATAAGATTTATCTAATTGTATTTAAAAAAAATTTATAAAATTCGTGATACCCATGACAATGTCTTGTTGAAACACTGGGTTCTGTTGACCAATTTGAATACCACTGCACTTTTGTATTGTTTTAGAGCTTAAACTTAAATTTATTGTGCCATTTTTTTTATTTAGCGGAGGTGTCAAAACATCAGAGAAAAGTGTAGCTTCAGGGATGTATATAAATAGAAGGTCGTAGAATGGTCGGTCGGTCGGTACTGTGACGTTTTAGAGCCCTGTTGTTGTTGTTTCTAAGATGATTAAAAATATTTTTCTATATGGTTCAGCATTGTGATTTGTTAGAATTTGTATTTTTGTATATCTCTAAGATATAATACGAGTTATTTTGAGTGTTACGTATGATATATATAAAATATTAAATGCTATGTTATTCTTAAGCTTTAAACTTATTATTTGTTATCAACTTTTTTTTTTATTTATTTCTTTTTCTATTTTACCCTTGCACTAGATGTTGATATAAACTGTACCTCTTGTAGTCGATAAGTTATTTAACGTATATGAACGTCTCAAACAAAAATTAAGAAATTTTTCGTCTTTTAAATATGTACTTAATATAGGAGTTAGTCTTTAGGCGATTATCCTTTGATCTCATTTTCCACAATATTTTTCTATGATAAGCATTTAATCTTGAGATTATTATTGCATTTATTTTTTCAGTCTGTAGTCGTTGCATTTTTTTTCCTGTAAAATTCAATAAAAAAAAAAATTAAAAAAAAAGTAACAGGCTTCCATTTACTATTCCACAGATTATCATTCATTTACGGTTAGGACGTAATTTAAATAATTTACTAACGGATAATATTAATAAATAAGTTCACTATGGTGCTATTTAATGAACTATTGGTTAATATATATGTATAAGCCTTAATTGTTACTATAGGGACTGTATTCTGTAATATCATCAGTAGATTCCCAGAATCTTTTTAGCTTTTTTCTTTTCTTTAAAAAAAAACATTTTCTTAAATCAAAAATTTTTATAATATGAAGTTATAAAGTAAGGAGTAATGCTACTTAAAAAATATATATAAAAATGATTAAAAAAATATATACACAGCTCAAAATAATTATTACTTCTGGGGTTTTAGACTTAGGGTAATAATTCTATTACTTAAGTCTAGTCGGTTCAGTAGTAATTTAGGAAACGGGAACTAGGGAGAGCTTTTTAAAATACGTTTAAATTTAATCTGTACTTAGATTCAACTGTGATCCGTGTGGGGTATCACTTTTTACCACCTGTCTGAAATTTTAAGCTAAACTTCATTTTATATTTAATATAAATGATTCGATTAATAAAAAACTGTTCATTATTGCTTAAAGTAAAGAAAAGATAATTAATAAATTATCATAGAGGTATATAAGGCTTTTCTTATCCAGTATTGTATATATTATTTTTTTCCCCTTAATCTAATTATGAATTATGACATTTTAAAATGTAGCTTAGAAGTTAAATTTCTTTTTCTTAGATTTTAGAAATTTCTATATCGATATATTTAAAATTTTTTAAAAATTATATAATCTATAGCAGTCAAACTGCTGCCTGTTCCCAAATATTGAAATGTTAAAATTTACAAATTAAAAAAAGTTTTTTTTTATTTATAAGATTTTTAAAAATTGTTATTCTTATTTAAACCATTTAATTTTAAATTAATCAGTTATGAGTTGACTTGTATATTTTATTGTGTAGGCTGTAAAATGATTTTTCCATTTTAATCAGGAAATGAAAAGTCATTTGATTTTTTTTCTTTTTATTAATTATATTTATATATTTTTTATCAGCTACTAAAAACATCTTTACAAGTATTACATAATTTGTTTCTGGATATGTTTCATTATAAATATAATTCAACCTTTTCCGATTTCGGTGGAAATCTTCAAAAAGTTTGTATCTGGTTATTTCAATTTTTTTTTGTTTAAAAATCAGAATAATTTTAAAATTTAAATTTCACTTTGATGTTAATCTTATAAAATAAATTTAATATAATAACGGTAGTTATTGCGTTAGAATTTTCAACTTACATAATATTTTGAATATTACATTTATTTTAGTAATTAATTTT